ATTCAAAATAACTCAAAAATTATCAATTGTAGCGTTAATGAAAGGTTATTTTGAAAAAAATCCATTTTTCTACAAAATTTTTTTTTCACTTCAAGTTCAAAACTTCTACAGCATATAACAATTACATGAATTAGGTGAATTGTGAACATTATTTTCTCTTGAAACTTGTTCAGTTTTGATGTTAGGAGCTTTCCTAAAGTATTTATTTAAGCACATAAAGAAAGTTTTTTTGAATTTTCTTCGAAAATGCATTGTTTTTTAGTTAAAAATTTCATTTGCGTTTGAAGAAATAAGAAAAAACTTTCAACAAGCTATCAGTCCGTTTGTAGTGGGTCGATAAACGCTATGAATCCACCTTTTTTTTAAAGCATGGATTTTTCGATATAATACTTACTTTGTGAGTTATTCGCGAAAAATGGTCTGAAAACTGGGTTTTAAGTTGAAAATTTGAAATTTTCACTCGAAAATGAATCGAAAAGTATCGGCTAGCAGAAAATACTTTATAGAACAAAAGTTGCTCGAGTGGGGTGAACAGGGGTAGGTACTGTACTGGAGACAGGGTCAAATTTGAAGTAGAAGGTAAGTAGTACCTAAATGCACATTTTATTAAACTGTGCTGTTTGACAAAATTGTACTAAAAAAGGTTATTGGCTGGACCATATGAATAGTAGTTAGCGTAATATGTCAAGTTCATCTCAATTCAATAACTCAACCCAGTATATCCCAATATGTCTCATGTTTCGTATGAAAAGAAAAACATAAATCAGCATCGTATATTTTTACGCAAAAAATAAATATCGGAAGGAATCTGATATCTTTCGAACAGCTGAAAATTAATCCTTCTACGAAGGTTTTCCAGTTGAAAGCATTTATGTCGAGGACGTGTCATTATTGATTTTTTATTCTGAACATAAAATTTCGTAGAGAGATAAAAAAGACTAGAAAGGCATCCCCAGTTATATAAGATAATGAATGTTGGCTGATGGACCGGATTTTGTTAGCTTTAATCATGACTCCTAAAATTTATTATTCAAATTATGAATAGACTGACCCCTTACTTGATGAAAATCAATTACACTATCCATGATAATAATTAAACAATTTCCAGAAACATGTTTCAATTCTAGACGCGTATCGCTATCATCACGACTGATGAAGCTACGGTGTTAGCGAAACGCGTATATAACTAAAACATTTTGATAAAATTGTTTATTAATTATCATCGATAGATATTTATCTTATACTGGTATATGTCTCTTTTTTTAGATAAAACGATTCGAACTTTCGTGAAGACTTCCAGTCATCCATACAAAAACTATACAAATCATAGCTTACAAAGTATTATAAAAGCGTTCCGTAAAAAGACGTTAACACTTGGTAAGGCAGCTGAAAAATATATAATTCTAAAATCTGATTTTGGTTTGAAATCTACAAAGAAAAACATATTCCCTACACAGCAGGAGGTCCCTACTTTAGGACTTTTCAGATATTTTTTTAAAACAACAATTAATTCATATAACTAAAACAAAAATCAATTCATATAAAAAAAATTAGTCTTTTCAATAATAAAATACATCAAAAGGTACTGAATTTTGTTTTTTTTTTGTACTTTTTAATTGTAGATGTTTGGATATAATTTTTGGGCATCCATGAATTCAACGTCATTCCATGACGTCAACACTTGGTAAAGCAGATGAAAAATATATAATTCTATGATCTAGTTTGTCTTTGATAGTTAAAAAGCTAAGTACTTTTCCTACAGCAGAAAGAAGTCCTTGTTGTAGGGATCTTCAGATATTTTTTAAGTTTTATTCAATAACAAATTAAATATAAAGGTACTGTTTTTTTTGTACTTTTTGATTGTAGATGTTTAAATAAATATAATTTTTCAGCATCCATAAATTCAAAAGTATGTTTTTTATTTGAGTAATAAAACCAAACGTGTTGAGAAACTTGATAACTTGAAGTATATATATCAATTCTAAAATAGCTCCTAACTATTGGGCTATTATAGGCAGCCATTGGAAAACAAATTTTCAATCCCCTATGAATAGAAAGCACTTTTTGTAAATGAAAAAATTTTCGACGAATACGAATCCAAAAATCATAAAAATTGGTCCAGCTGTTCTTGTGTTCTTCTATTATTATTATTTTTCTTTTTTTTTCACATTTACTCACCTTTTAAACATTTCCTGGACTTCCAAAAATCCAAAACGGTCCCTCCGTTCTCGAGTTTTTGAGAAATCCACGAACAGCAATTCATTTTTATATTTTATGATAGGATATTGATCAAAAAGTTCAAAAAAATGTAAAATAACCTCGTTACACGGTACTCAAAACGACCCAGGGGAAATTATTCATCAGTCCGAAATTCATCTAGAAATAATAATAAAATAAGTGAAATATGACATGCTTATATACATGCACTGATGAAGTGACTCATACGTATAGTAGTAGTAATTCAAAAAGTTTCAAATTCGAAGAAAAAGTTTCAAAGTCAAAATGTCAAAACATGAATTTCGGGAAGTTTTCACTTCATATCGCCCAACCCATGCTAGGAATCGCAAGTTAAAATTCAAGACCTTGTAAATCCTCAGCTCGCATAAGTTTTAAATTCTGAGAGTTTTCGTTCGTATGGGGAAGACATCTGCTCAACGGAAAAAAGTGGTTATTCATTCTGTTCTAAATTAACCAAAATATTAACCAAGTCAAACCTTTTATATCTGGTGAGACTTCAAACTATCCTGATTGGATAATTCTGGAAATTATTCTGAATGTATCGGCAAAAATATAGTGATCGCTAAAAATGAGAAAAAGAATTGATGAGTTATACAACACAACCTGACAGAATAGAGTCAACATAATAAATCAAGTTCGTTCCGTAACTCTCAATAGAAGAAATCAAAAAATGAGTCAATTGATTCCTTATCTTCAAAGTCCCCATAATCTAAATTCAGTAAGAATTTTGTAACATCAACAGATCGAATAAATTGTTATTACATAAATCTAGGAAACTGGGCCATAAAAGTAATATTAACGATATGCGAGTGCACAGGGTCCCTCAACCATGGCATTTTGTTTGAATGTTATGGATTTGGTGAAACTGAAACGTTTATTATTAGGTAACTATATCAGTTTTTCTGACACAAATTTCAACATTGGTTTATTGCAAAAATTCACCAAACTCGAAAATATACTTATTATTAAGTAATATAGTGAGTGCATCACAAATACAGTTTAGTTTGAATGTCGAAAATAATATGAATGAATACCTTGTGTTTTTACTCACTGTTTTCGATATCGCGTTCTAAATATTTTTATTCAGCGGGGCTAGGAAACACCCTCTGAATCTTATGATTAAAAAAAGTGGTTGGGAGATACTAGTATATTTCTATTATCTCAACAATTAAGTAGATTTTCAGTTTGGTTTATGATATAGGTTAGGTAAGGGTCGACTACAATATTTGAGCATGCGAATGGAAATGCAGATAGAATAGACTACATCGGATTTCATGCAATCAGGTATAGAAATCATTTTGGATATACTTAGAAATTCAAAATTGGAATATGACTACGAAATTTTTGAAGTAATTTTTACAATAGTGATCATATAATTCACGATCAGGTTCCTTGTGAACTGTGCTCTGGAATAGTAATAATTATTGTATTCATTTAAGATCAAGATATCTTTCTTTTCTTTTTCTTTTCAAAGACTTTTGGAAACATTTGTTAGGAACACATTTTTATAATTGGCTTTTTTCGCAATTGTGGTTAATATGAATTTTACAAGTTTTTTCCAGAGTTAACACTAAAGTGTACAGTTACTTCTCTTGTTTCGCTGCGTCTCTTGTCACGGATTCAACATTTGTCTGCTACAGAAATCTTCACCTAAACAAAATGGTATCTTCAATCTGTTCGTAGCTTGCTCATCAGTAAACTGTATATTACTTCGAAATGAATGAATTTTGAAAGATATATTTTTGGTTCAAAATGGTGAAGTAAACACGAAAGTTGAATTTAAAATTTAATAACCTCACATCAAATATATAATTTGTATGAGAGTGACGCGGCCAATACTCATGCTTTCTCCTTGCAAACACCCTCACCAACAGTTAGACAGAAGCATGCTGTAGAATACTCAATGGGAAACAATAAATAAACACTCGTCACTTTACTGGCTATACCGCTTTATTCGGTTATCTGTACAGAACTGGGCTCTCTCCTCTCCAGAGTCAAGTAACAACCTTATTCATCATTCGGGATGACTTCATTAATCGATACAGTAAATCCTAAAGGTACGTCCACACTGGAGCAACATTTGGCAACTTGTAGCAATTTTATGTTGCAACAAGTTGCTAAATGTTAATTCATTAAACTTTGACATAAAACAAACTGTCCTCACTAGTGCAGCAATGTTAATGAATGTTTGCACTTGTCGAATCTCAAATTCAGTTGAGTACAACATTCTGTCCACACTGCTGTAGTTTTGTGACATGATGGAGGAAGACTTATTAACTGCTACCGCGTGCTTTCTAATTTTGTGTTGTGATTCACGAAAACGGAAGCGTAAATGTTGGGTCCGCCCAAGTTTGAAGAAAAGGGAAGAATATGGTGGACAGAAATTATTATCGGATTTAAAGAAAGATGACGTTTTATTAGAACTTCGAACCCATGGGTGCTTCAAAAATTTTCTGCGCATGAGTAGTTCAGATATGGAATTTTTGCTGCAAAAAATTGCATCAGTAATTAGAAAAGCATCAGATACAAACTGTAGAAAGGCTATACCTCCATAAGAACGACTAGCTGTAACATTGCGCTTTCTGGCAACTGGAGATTCCTACAGCAGTTTGATGTATTTACTTCAGATTTGGAAACAAGCTATCTCAAAGATAGTACCAGAAGTATGTGCTGCGCTAGTAAACGCAATTAAAGACCAAGTTAAGGTAAGTAAACTTTATTGTACTTTTTTTATTGATAAATTTAGAACTTTCACATGTTACTTAATTGAAATGCCTCTGCGATAATGTTTGAAGAACCAGTAGAGTAGCAGTAGAGGAGTCTGAAGAGTTTTGTATGTATATCTCCGCTGGTGATGTAGCTGGCGTGCTGCAATACGATGAATGTGACTGTGGTCTCGTGAAAAGTTGCATTGATAAAATTGGCTCATATGTATTAGTTGATTGTGGCATTCCATAATCATATTTACCCATACTTGCATCGAACAAAATATTACTTATAAGATGTTCTACAATATTTTGTGTGCAGGTGGTATTCAAATCCCTAATTTTACACGCCATATGTTCTCCAAATACATCGAATTTGTCTCGCTGTCGTTTATTTTGTATGTCTTGAATTATTTTATATGCCTCTTCTTTTCGAGCGTTATCATCGATTTTTCTTTTAAAAATTTGTGTGACACGTCTAGTTTTATTGGGGTGTTTAAATTCACCAAGATTTCTGCTGTTCGGATTTTCCACGGTTTCCTTACGAGGGTCTTGAGAGGCTTTGTTAGATGCCGAAGGCTCCTGACAAGCAGCGTTAGATGTTGATGGCTTTTGAGAACCATCGTTAGACAAGTCTTCCATGCCTTGGTGGCCATTTTCTACATCTTGAAATTCTTGGGTCTCATTTCCACATTCATCACAGTCTGTTACTTGTGAATAATCTAAGTCAGTTTCGGAGGAAGAGTCATTAGGGTCATCCTGAAAAGAAAAATACACTGTATAAAATGTAATTAGAGTGATCTACATTTTTAGCATAAGTAATGGATATCTTTGTTTTTCAGATGCCTAAAACTGCTCAAGAATGGGAAACAATTACTAATGGTTTCAGGGTTCTTTGGAATTTTCCAAAATGTGTAGGCGTCATGGATGGCAAGCATATTGCAATACAAGCACCAAAAACAGTGAAAGTGATTTCTTCAATTACAAATCGTTTTTTAGCATCGTTCTGTTTGGCGTAATGGATGCTAATTATCGATTTTTGTATTTTCATGTAGGAAAATATCTGATGGGGGAGTTTTCGAGAATACATTATTCAAAAAACTATTAACTCTGCAAACTCAACCTTCCAGAATATAGCTCTTTACCAGGACATGAGAAATTAGTCCCTCACGTATTTTTAGGGGATGATGCCTTCCCATTATCACCAAATTTACTGAAACCCTACCCTGGGGCTCAGGACAAAGGGTCTCCCAAAAGGATATTTAATTACCGTCTCAGTAGAACGAGAAGAATATCAGAAAATGTTTTTGGAATGTTATCTTCGATTTTTAGAATATTTAGAAAAGCGTTACTTTTAGAACCAGAAACTGCAGAAGTTGTTGTTATGGCCTGCATTTACTTGCATATTTTTTTACGGAATAGTTCAGGATCTAAAAATTTCTACAATTCCCCAGGTACATATGACGGTGAAGATAAAGATACAGGACGTGTTTTAGAAGGATCGTGGAGAAGAGAAACGCAGAGTAATACGTTTACTCCATACAAAAAAGTTGCACGAAATTCAGCACTGAAGCAAAAGATATTAGGCAAGAGTTTGCTGATTTTTTCGTTACACCTTTGGGGATGGTGCCGTGACAGAATAATTTTTGAATTATAATTCATGTATAAATTGAAATAGCCTATTTATATGTTTGAACAATTAATAATAGGAAAGTTAATATCTAAAAACATTGTATAATTGTGTGTTTACTTACCACGTTCTCGGCTTCACTTTCCTTGCATGGGCGGACTTTGTTTTTGTCTCTAAGAAATACTAATGCATCGTAGGCAAACCCCTTGGAATGAAAGTGAGCGCCTGCTCCAGATTTTCTCATGCTGCGATATTTTTTTCGCTCTTTATAAAACTGAGCCACCAAGTGTGCCACGTGTGCTCCGGAGTATTTTGAAACATGCGTTACTGGCACAAACTTCTATACTTTATGAAACAGCCAAGTAACACTGAGAGCTCTGAGGCCGTTTATTTGTCTTAGTCTAAACTGATATGGACTGCAAAACCTCTTTAAGACAAGTGGCTGGAAGACTCAAATACCCTTGATGTAGGTCACAATGAAAATAAAATATATTAACTAAAATTAATATGGAATATTTTAAAGAAAGATTAGTTTTTTGGAAACAACCCTTTTCACTTTCCTACTTCTCCATCATCAAACTGAAAATGTGGGAAACTTGTTTCGGAAGGGTTAATTCTTTTAATTTAAATCTGTAAAAAAAAAGAATTGCTGCTTGAAATAAAAATTATCAATGCAAATGAGATTCTTATGGCAGGTATCAAATTAACTAACTGTATGAATGTGTATACGTACTGTCATCGTGACACGAGCAGAATTGTCTCTTCCAGTGACATACAGTCATAATGTTATGAAAGAGACACGTGCTTCCTTTTGTAATGTTATCCAAAACATTGCTGATTAGATATTGAGACAATAGAGTTGTCCCGAAACTTCAGAGTACACCTTTGAGTATGATAGTATATCTATGTACTATTTCATATATTATCTTGTATAGTATTCTTTTAAAATATATTTGTTTAAATTTCATAACGCATTTTTGGAATAAAAACATGTATGAATGACTGTGATATACAAGAAACTGAACCAGGGATACGAAAGAATTCCTACAGCAACAAATATATCACTGGTACGAAATGCCAGTGAATAGCCAAACGAAAAGGTTAATGAGTCATATTCAAAAAAAGCTGAACAGCTTCTAGAGTCGAACAAAAACGACCGGATACTGGTAACGGGACTTTTTTCTGGCCAGTGTCCTATATCAAGTTCTTGTCCGCAAAAGTCTAAAGTTGATTGAATAAGTAACACTAATGCCATGTGAAATAAAGGAATTGCCCCCAGAAAATTAATTCACTCTATCAGAAGTCTCAGTTTTTCGGAGTAAAGGAAAAAATATTGTGTATTTTAAGGATACATCCAAAGTCGAACGAAACCGTGTTTCGATTCCATTTGATGGATCTTTTGCCCTAATTGTTCGAAAGTTGGGATCACAAGCTAATTGCACACGCCGTAGTATCCGATTTCCAGAGCGCAATAGTAAATTTTAGAACTCGGTAATAAAAAATAGAATGGTAACGTTTATACATACGAGTATACCTATATTTCATCGTTGTCGACAACTGCTGAAACGTGATAACACGCAGAGCTTTTTTGCATTCATACGAAATGTCATTAACTCATATCTAGATTTGGATGTCGCGGACAAACACAGTAGACCATTGTATTATTTAAATGGGACGCATACTGTACTTGCTAAAGAGATAAGCGCTGTTTATGGTTCCACTGGTGTTTGTTGAATTTCGTCTGTATTAAATTCAACGGTCAGCATGAGTCACCCGCCATTCCACTCGTTGATAAGTAGGTCAGATTTTGGAGTACAACCCGGGTCATCAAACTGGTAGGCAGGTTGCGTCGTCTTCAGTCCCATACACTTAATTGAATATTTCACGAACTAGGATTTTTCTTCACCTCCAAGAAAATATTTTCTTGGGATTTCGTGTCACGAAGTGTTCTGGGGATGTACCTATTGAATTTATTGAAGTCTCTGGAGACACCCTAGATTTTGTTTCAAAAAAGAGAAGACATTGGCAGATCAAGAGCTTCAGATGATGTGGTGCTACAGGTTTTTCCTGGTTTTCCTGCAGCTGAAAAAGCAAATGCGCCACTGGAATCAATGAAGTCGCCTAGGAGCGCCAAATTATTTTTTTTTGTTTCATAATTTCATGATTTATATTACTTTCTTCGTTAATAATTATAATTTATGCTTGAATGGTATTGTGATGTGGTTACAGTTTCTTCATGTTTCTTTTTGGGGTTATAAACCTTCCACAATCTCCAAAGTAAATTAATGTAGATCAACAGGGACTCGGCCCACGTGTAATTAAAGATGAGAAAGTGAAAAGTTCATCCCGAAAAGTTAATGCGAAATATAAACCTCTGAATAGTTTAATAAGTCATCAAATTGTATTTGTTTTTCTAATATAAATTCATGTACAGAAATAAAGTTATGTTTCATAAATAAAAGATTGTAACTTTTCGGTGTCAATTATTAATATTTCTCCTTCATTAAAACTAAACAGTTTCTTTGTTTATAGATTTTTTCGTTTTTGAATTATGGGAGGTTGTTAAATCGATAGTATTGAATTTTATCTAGTGATTTTCCATACTAGAAATTTTCTAATGAACTGAAGTAGATTTCATTTCAGTAGATTAGAAAAATAGTGATATCGACTCGTTATTAGTTTTTCTAAGATATCCTTTAGTCTTTTCAGTATTTTTGAAAATGTAAACCTTCTGAAAAGACTGACAAAATTTGTTCTATCGAAATGTGAATGGGTGGAACTTTCCGCGACAAAATCGGGTTTATATGGATGTTATGGAACACATCTAGTAATATTGTTCTATGAGAAAATATCCACAGCGAAGCTATTTTTCAGATCTTATGATTTTTTCAATCGAAATAATATAAGGGATGATTGAGGATTGAGTTCTTTATCGATCCTATACATGCGCCTTCATAAGGAAATGTCGTCAACCTTTCTCACTCAGGCTTGTCTTTTGAGGATACTCGAATCCAGCAACACATTTGTGGTCCAGCCTAGCACCACTAATGACACCTACGGCTGGTTGAAACAGCGCTATCTGATGGTGGATCATAAATGCGTTATATTTGGGCTTTACTTTTCAATTAGTTGCCTTGCAGTAAACGATAGAGACTTAATGTTTGATTTTCGAGGATTGAGTTCTTTGTCAATCCAATAGATAGCGTCTTCGTAAGATGAGAGGTCAGTGACCTTTATATAGAAGTAATAGAACATGCTGAATACTATCTCCGGCCATGTTATTCCACTTTATTCGAATCAAATACTCGTAATAATTTTGCATATTTACGATTATCTGTGTAGAACGGGTGGAGGTAAAATTAATTTTGTCTTTACTCATTCCGTAGTTTAAAAGGAACGTCCTAAAGGACAAACTTTCATGGCTAACCATAAACTTCCACGAGCTTTAACGGTCAGTAGCTGTTTAGAGCAATCCTTCACGATGGTGGTAAATTTATTCAATTCTTGGCTGGAACGTATGGCTGCCTTCACATTAGTTCTTATTACTGTTTCGAGGAGAGATATATACGTATCAGAAAAATGAACATTTCATGGCAGATTTCTGCAGGAAAACAACTACTTCCGCAGCTAATTTCACGATAGATACTGAATTATGTACTTTTCCAGCAGAAAGATCTCGCTGAAATCAATCGAGTATCACCTATAGACCGTTTTCGGGGTATTTTACCCCTCGTTAGTCCAAGACAGATCCAAACAATTACTTTATCGTATCTTGATCGCATATACAAAACCTTCGTTTGAGATAAGTTCTTATAAATATAAAGAGCTGATTACCGGAAAAACAGATTTTAAACAGATTTTTTTTTTTTTAAATATAAAGAGCTCCATTTTGTGTACCAAACCCAAAGCTGGGAAGAAGAGTGTTCCAACACTCTAACAGAAATCAAAATAAAAGTGACATGTGTTTCCAGGAAAGATGCATACCTACGTATGAAGAAAATACATAGTTCGAAATACTCAGTAGGATCTAGTGAATGCTTACTTGCAAACAACTACTTCCCCGGATAATCCACGGTGGCCATTGAATTAAAACAGACATATGTTTTTCAATTTCGATTGCTTCACGAATTATTCTGGCCTGAAGATTTTTCTCCGTAGCAATGGTCCTGGTGTTTTCCAAACGTATTGTGTGGCCTGTTTCCTGGTGGTGTTTGAAGAGAGATGATGCTGCGTCTGATTTGCGAATAGCTAGTTCATGTTCATAGGCTCTGTTGGAAATTCTTTTATCGGTCTAGTCGATGTTAGTTCATAGTCAGTTAAAACATAGTATTTCGTATATGCCCTTTGCTTCATTGCGTATCGTGTCCTTGGGTGTTCTTAAAATAGTGGAGATATGGTTGTTAGCTGTGAATACCGTCTTTACGTTATGTTTCTTCAGAATTCGACCCACGTTGTCAGTAACTTCATGGATATAGGGAAGAAAAGCTTTTGTCTAGTTGGTCTGTTCCTCGGGTACCTCGTGGGGTGGGGTTTGTGTTTGCTGTCGTTGGATGGATCTTTGTATTTGGGAGACGGGACAGTCGTTTTGGTTAAGGACGGCTTTGAGTTCGTATAGTTCCCTGGATCTGTTGTAGTTGTCAGTGAGTCTTATAGAACGATATATGAGGGAATTCAGAACGGAATTCAGCTGGGCAGGATGATGATGCGAATTAGCATTGAGGTAGCGGTTAGTATGGGTAGATTTTCGGTAGACCGTGTGTCAGGAGTTGTTGGACTTTTTGATGAGAACATCCAGGAAAGAGAGTGAGTTATTATTTTCTTTCTCAATTTCCATTGTGAACTTTAAGTCGGGGTGTAAGGAGTTGATGTGGTTCAGGAATGCATGAAGATCTTCAGATCCATGGGGCCATATAACGATGACGTCATCCACGAATCGGAGCCAACACTTGGATTTGAGATAAGACGTGTCAATGTCTCTGGTTTTCGAAGTCCTCCGTGCTCTGTACTATTATCCTCTAATGGGATTGATTTCACGACGTTTCGACAAAGTCTCATTTGTCATCATCTGGCGATTTCTGTTAAGTGTTCGGAAGTCGACCGACCTTACTCGATCCGCTCCCTAGTATATAGGTAAAGTGTTGTTTGTTATGTGTTCGAAAGTAGACTGTTCTTACACGATCTGCTTCCTACTATAAAGATATTATTGTTGGTTTTTACCTGAGTTATTCTTCTTGATTGACCTCT